TGCATGTTCTTTCTCTGCTTTTGCATTAATTTGGATAAAGGTTTGTCTATCTTGTTGATTTTTCTCAAAAAACTAACTCTTGGTTGCATTGATTTTTTTTTTTTTGTATTGTTTTCCTGGTTTCTATTTTGTTGATTCAGCCCTCAAGTTGATTATTTCCTGGCGTCTACTCCTATGGGGTGAATTTGCTTCTGTCAGTTCTAAGGCTTTCATTTGTGCTGTGAATTCTCTAATGTGACTATCCTCTGTTTTCTTCATATGGGCACTTAGTGCAATGAACTTCCCTCGTAGCACTGCTTTCAAGGTGTCCCATAAGTTCGGGTATGTTGTATCCTCATTCTCACTGAATATTAGAAAGTCCTTAATTTCTTTCTTTATTTCTTCTTTGACCCAGGTGTGGTGCAACTGCACATTGTTCGGTTTCCATGAGTTTGCAGGTTTTCTGCTATTTGTGTTGTTGTTGAATTCCAATTTTAAAGCATGGTGGTCTGATAAGTTACAGGGGACTATTCCTATTCTCTTGTATTTGTTGTGGTTTGTTATGCCACCTAGTATGTGGTCGATTTTAGAGAAGGTTCCATGTGGAGCAGAGAAGAAGGTATATTCTTTTGTGTTTCGGTTTCGATGGAATGTTCTATAGATGTCTGTTAACCCCAGTTGAGACATAACTTCTGTTAGTTCTTTTGTTTCTTTTGTTGAGTTTCTGATTTATGGTCCTGTCTAGTGTTGAGAGTGGTGTATTGAAGTCTCCCACTATAAGTGTGTGAGGTTTTATATGAGCTTTGAGTTTTAGTAGTGTTTCTTTTACTAATGTGGGTGCCTTTGTATTAGGGGCATAGATGTTCAGAACTGAGACTTTGTGTTGATGGATTTCTCCTGCGATGAATATGAAATGACCGTCTTCATCACTTTTGATTAATTTTGGTTTGAAGTCTAACTGGTTAGATATTAGGATAGCCACGCCTGCTTGCTTCTTGGTTCCATTTAATTGGAAAATTTTTTCCCAACCCTTTACCCTGAGGTAATGTCTATCTTTGAAGCTTAGATGTGTTTCTTGTATGCAACAGAAGGATGGATTCTGTCTTTGTATCCATTTTGTTAGCCTGTGTCTTTTTATAGGTGAGTTAAGACCATTAATGTTGAGGGTGAGTAAAGGACTATTGATTGTTGATGCTTGTTTGTTTTAGATTTGTTGTTGGCAGTGGTATTATGAATATATTTTTTCTGCTTTACCCTTGGTTTCTGGTGTAGTTAGATTATCTGTTGCCTACATTTTTGTGGGTGTAGTTACCTTCCTTGGGTTGGAGTTTTCCTTCCAATACTTTCTGTAGGACTGGATTTGTAGATACATATTGGGAAAATCTGGTTTTGTCATTAAATATCTTGTTTTCTTCATCTATAGTGATTGAGAGTTTTGCTGGGTATAGTAGCCTGGGCTGGTATCCGTGGTCTCTTAATACTTGTAGAACATCTATCCAGGACCTTCTGGCCTTGAGGGTTTCCATGGAGAAGTCGGATGTAATTTGGATAGGTCTGCCTTTATATGTTACCTGTCCTTTTTCCTTCACTGCTCTTAATATCCTTTCTTTATTCTGTATGCTAGGTGTTTTGATATTATTATATGTTGAGGGGTCTTTTTTCTTTGGTCCAGCCTATTTGGTGTTCAATATGCTTCTTGTATTTTCATGGGCATGTCCTTCTTCAGATTGGGAAAGTTTTCCTCGATGATTTTGTTGAATATGTTTTCGGCACCTTTGAGCTGGGCTTCCTCACCTTCCTCTATGCCTATTATTCTTAGGTTTGGCCTTTTCATGGTGTCCCACATTTCCTGGATGTTTTGTGTTAAGGATTTGTTGGATTTATGATTTTCTTTGGTCGATGAATCTATTTCTTCTAGTTTATCTTCTGCGCCTGAGATTCTCTCTTCCATCTCTTGAATTCTGTTGGTTATGCTTGCGTCTGTAGTTCCCAATGTTTTGCCCAGTTTTTCTATTTCCAGCATTCCTTCGGTTTGTGTTGTCTTTATTTTCTCTATTTCAGTTTTCAAGTCTTGAACCGTTTCCTTCACCTGCTTAATTGTTTCTTCTTGGCTTTCTGTACTTTCTTTACTTTCCTTAAGGAATTTGTTCATTCCACTTTTTTGTTTGTTTTTTCCTCCATTTCTTTAAGGGATTTTCTCACATCTTCTTTGAGGGCCTCTATCATTTTTATGATAGTAATTTTTAAGTCGTTCCCTTCTGCTTCCTCTGCTTTGTTGTTGTGTTCCATTCTAGTTGGTGTAGATTCCCTAGATTCTGGTGGTGTCATGCTTGTCTTTCTGTTGCTAGGTGTTTTCTTGTATTGCCATCTTCCCATAGCTTCTCCCAGTAGGTGTTGGTGGGGTCTCCCCCTCTCTCTATGGTACTTCTCCAGTTGGGCTTATGTGGGTCAGAGGTTCAATATCTGTAGCTCTGGGTGGTCCAAGCTCTATAGGAGGTCTCTCCGCAGACAGGGACCCAGGGGTGGGGTCAGGGATGAGGGTCCAGTAGAAGATGCCAGCATAAACTCAGAATGGTCCCACAGAGATAGGCTCGTCTCTGGGAGGGGCCCCGGGCTCCAGCAGAGGACTGGAGGCGGGGTCAGAGACCAAGCAGGTGGAAATTACGTGTGGTCCTGCATAGATAGGCAGGTCACCTTTGTTCAGAGTTGCTCTGAGAAGTCCCCGAAGTAGGGTATACTGTTGGCTCCACCCTGTCCCAGTGCTCAACCAGAGCAGCGGGACAGTGGGCAGGGTAGAGGGGGGCAGGATAGCGGTGGGGATGGGTGGGGATGTATCAGAGCTCCAAGGGTGCTCATGATGGGGACAGGACACAGGAGCAGCAGGATCAGGGGCCAATCCAGGGAGTTCGGGGGGGGGGGGGAGGGAGAGTTGGTAGGGGCGAGGCTGCCCCAATTGGGCCCAGACTCACCACTAGCCAATGACTGGCAGAAGAGGACAAAGGCTGGGCTGATACTTGGGAAGTTTCTGCACTTGGGAAGGATCTCACTGGAAACTGGCACTCTCCAGCTGAGGCCTCTTTCTTTCTATATTTTCTTATTCTGTCAGCTGAAGGGACTCAGAAGCAACAATAACCCAATAACATTGATCACATATAGAGCACAAATCTTAGTTTTGAATACCATTCTTCAATTAAAGGAATCAGGGATCTTTGGAAGAGTAGATGAATCAAGGGTTAGAACGGGAAATATACAAAATGATCCTGAAACAGTACAAAAAAAAAAAATTTAAGACTTTTTTTGGGGGAGGGTAGGAGGGTTGTTCGTTTGGTTTTGTTTGTTTGTTTTAGACAACATTTCATTGTGTAGCCCTGGATGTCTTGGAATTCACTCTGTAGACTAGGCTGGCCTTGAACTTAGAGATCCATCAGCCTCTGCCTCCTGGGTGCTGGTATTAAAGGTGTTGCACCACCAATGCCCAGCTTCAGAATTTTTTTTTTAAATGTTTGGGACTTGCATAAAGGGAGTATATTAAAGGAACATTGTTTTGCTCTTCTATTAATTTTACTGAGTTCCTCAGACCTGCTGCTGTAGACTTGACTCACTCAGGGGAAGCTCCCCTCACCTCTGTGGATCCCTGTGTGAGCTATTAAGCTCCATGTTAATTATTAAAATATTACTGGTCCATTTTATTACTTAAGTGGATGTAGTTACAGCTTAAATATAAACTAGAAAAGGATATCAATTAGCATATTTTTTAACATTTCAGGAAGCAATGGCCTTTAGGCCATCTAATAACAAACTGCCATCAGAATATAACCCTGACAGCAACTGGTGGAAACAGATGCAGAGACCCACAGTCAAACATTAGGCCAAGCTTGGGGAATCCTGCTGAAGAGAGGATGGAAGGACTGTAGAAGTCAGTGATGTCAAGGACACCACAAAAGCCCACAGACTCAACTAACCAGGGCTCAAAGGAGCTCACAGAGATTACATGGCACTGACCTAGGCCTTCTGCATGAATGTGACAGTTGTGTAGCTTGGTCTTCTTATGGGACCCCTAACAGTAGGAACAGTGGCTGTCTCTGACTCCTTTACTGATTTTTGGGACTCTGCTCCTCATACTGGGTTGCCTCACCCAGCCTTAATACCAGGGGAGGTGCTTAGTCTTGCTGTAACTTTGATGTTTTGTTGATATGCATGGGAGGTCTACTCTTTTCTGAATAGAAACAGAGGAGGTGTGGAACACAGGGAGGGGCTGGGAGGAGAAAGGGGAAGGAAATCTAAGGTTGGAATGTAAAATTAATTATTTTTTAAAACAGAATGCCACACTGAGCAGAAAACCATTTATGAAAGAAAAGAAGTGTTAATCAGTCAAGTTTGAAAATGTTCATTTACTTAATACCTATCAAATTGTCACCCCAAGTGCTAAAATATCTCATTAACGATTCATATGCTAAAGAAAAAATCATGGCAGTTTCTAAACAGTAGAATTTGTTGAGAGAAACCTTTCTCTATCGGAACAACTTCCTCCCCTCCCCCCAATGTGTGTGTGCAGAGTTAAAAAAGAAAAAACTCATTCTACTTCAGAGATGAAGATGAAATTTGTATACCTGGTAATGTAGCTTAGTAGCAGAAAATATGTTTAGTATCAGGAAGCCTTGGGTTCAATCCTTAGCACCCCCAAAAGTTATAGACACGTGTGTGTGTGTGTGTGTGTTTATGTGTGTGCATACTAGCAAGGATTAATTTTAAAGTTTCAAAATTGTATGTGTGTGTTGTATTAATGTGCACATTGTTATATGCATATATGTAAGGGTTTATTTTAATATATACTCTTTCTCCAAGTTTTAATCTTCTATACTTAACAGTAGTAAAAGAACCTTATCTAATTGTAAAGCATATACTCATTTCTGTAGGAGAGTGAGAAATCCTTTTCTCTTCAAACTTGTTGGTACACATTGAGCCACCAGACCAGATGCTTTAAATTCTGGTGAGGCATAAAACCTGTCCTTCTGTTACAGATGTAACAATGAGAGCGAGTGGACCCAGATTCATGAGAACATCATCCGGAAGTCAAGTACCAAGTACTCTGCCCCCAGTGCCAGCCATGGTGATGTATTTCTTTTTCTTCTTTTGTTTGTTTGTTTTGTTTTCGAGACAGGATTTCTCTGTGGCTTTGGAGGCTGTCCTGGAACTAGTTCTTATAGACTGGGATGGTCTCAAACTCACAGAGATCTGCCTACCTCTGCCTCCAGAGTGCTGGGATCAAAGGCATGCACCACCACCGTCCTGGCACATGATGTATTCCTTTGGCTAGAAAGTTTTATGTTATGTCTGTATAGTCTAATTGTATAACACTTCAGTGGTTGGTGTTGCTTGACTAATTTCCTGTTCACATTTGTTTCCTTCCTGGGAGTTTTCTAGTAGTAGTCCTTTATATAGTCATTTAAGACCTTTTTAATATCCCTTGACTAATATACATTTTGATCTTTTTAATAATAAACTCTATACACTTTGGTAAGTAGCTGGACTTCCAGTCCAGTGAGCAAAATGTTTCCAGGTTTGTTACATTATAAAGTCTGTTTTCTTAAACAAAATGACAAGTATTAGTATCCAGTTCTCGTTCTATTCCTATTGAATGTCAGCATCTTGTAGAAAGACTGACACTAATGATTATTTTTCTAAGAAAACTATCAGGGCTATGGTGTAAGTTAGTGATAAAGTGTTTGCCCAACATGTAGCCCTAGGATCTATCCCTCCTAGCACTGTGGCTGGAGAAATGGAAAAGAGACGAAATTGATGTCTTTCCTAGTACTATGCACAGGGTATATGTATGGCTCTGAATAAAGAAAAAATGTTTTGTTTTTGTAGGTCTTATTATTTCCCTACAGCTTTTTCGTGGTGACATGGAACAGATCCGGAGAGAAAATCCCATGATATTTAATAGAGGATTAGCAATTACACGAAAACTGGGATTTCCTGATGTCATTATGCCAGGTAAGAAAAAGTGAGTGGGGATGGGGGGGAGATGGATTAGCAGAATGGAGTTTATTGCTTGAGCAGGTGGTAAGCTATTCAGGTGAGCTATACAGCCATTAAGGTCTCTGCCTCCCAAGTCAGTGGCTGACTGTAGTTTACAGCAGCAGCCCTTTGGGTATTGTAAGCATTTGTTCTTTGCCAGAAGCCCCTGTACCATGTTTCCCAGTGCAACATGACAGTTCAGCACGTGGGCTTTGTGGAGCTCTGGTGATAAGGGAAGCAATGTGAAATTTCCTCATAAAGATGTACTTTGTAACCTTCTCTTCCATCATATTCCCTGATTGGGGATTTCTTCATGAGAACTTCCTGCTTAAGGGGAAGAATTTATCACAATATGTGTCTACACTATCGGAGACTCCTGTTTGTGTAGGAATTAGGGGGAAAATTTTAATGTAACAGAAAGTAGACATACAAACAGCATGGATTTGGACCTTCTAAATATTACTGCCTGTTTTCTCAGCAGTTGTCTCAGTGGAGATCCAAGGCAGAAAGTAGGGATGCATTGCCTCTCAAGTAAGGTTTTGCTAGGCAAGTACTAGGCTCATGTTTTCTATTAGGTGGACTTGGGTAGAGCTGGGAAAGTAGATCCAAATGGGCTGTTAGAGCTGAAAGAGCTGTTAGAAATGAAAAGACTGGCTCGAGATTGACAGCAGGTAATTTGGCAACCAAGATGTGAAGGATATGGAGTTCAGAACAAGCAAACACCTGGTTCTCTAGATAGATTCTAGGAGAGGTGGACCTACCCTCTCAGTTGAGTTTTAATTCCCTGTACAAAGCTTGTTTTATTGAGAAGAGCCAGGCCAGAATGAACTAAATTGTGACTACTTTATATGTCATCTATTAGTTCTTCCTGGTTCTTCACTAATGTTGGAAACATTTGCCAATACACACCCAAAGGGGAATATGACTTGAGAAAGGAAGGCCCACACAGTGGGACCAGCTACTCTGTTTGCCCAGATTTATTTTCTATCACCTCCATTCCCTCCCTGTAGACACTGTGCATGCAGAGCAAGCTGCTGTGCACTGCTTTTATTTCCTACTCATGAACACAGGAGGCTTTTGGATGGCAGATTTAGGCCAACTAGATCAATTATGTTTATTGCTAAGTGATATGGGACCTCATGCTTATGAAGGGCCTACATCTGGCTATTGTACAGATGAGTGTTCCATTGGAAGTTGCACCTATACTTTCACAATCCCTTCTTTAGCTTTGTCTGGACCCTGTAATCAAGAAAAGAAAAGTCCAAACAACAGTCTCACCTTTGTAGCAACGAGGTTTTGAAAAGAGAACCAAAGCTAACTGAAATTGATCTAATAACCTTTTCAAAATTAGATGCTAGGTGCTAACTGTAGTGGAATAATATGTGAGAGACTGTCAATAGAGTGCTTCTCTTGCAAGCATGAGGACCTGAGCTCAATCAGGAGGAACCATTTTAAAGAGCTGAGTATGGTGGTGTATGGTATAATCTCAGCACTCAACCAGGAGGCAAAGACAGGCAGATTCCTTTAGGCTTGCTGGCCAACCAACCTGGCAGACTTGGAAAAGCTGCATGCAGTGAAAAATCCTGCCTTAAAAAGATTCAAGATGGACAGCTTCTGAGAAATAACATTTGACTTTCCTTTGACCTCTACACATGCACATATTTGTACAAATTATATTAGCAAGATACATTACAAAGAGACTTTCATCTATGGAAAAAGACCTTCTGCTCAGGTACTCACCCTCACTGACTGTCAATGACGCCTTCTGCTCAGGTACTCACCCTCACTGTGTGTCAATGACGCCTTCTGCTCAGATACTCACCCTCACTGAATGTCAATGACGCCTTCTGCTCAGGTACTCACCCTCACTGTGTGTCAATGACGCCTTCTGCTCAGGTACTCACCCTCACTGTGTGTCACTGATGCACAGGCTTATAAGGGATTTTTATCTACATTAAAAATACCTGGAAGTGTGTGATGTCAGGCATTAGTGAGGCAATGAGGTTAAGGAAGTACTCCATTTCCTGAGAAGCAAAAGCATCATCAGATGATTTTCTCTACAAGGCAGGACATTGGACATTTCTTGGAGACCTGGGACTGGGTAATGAGTGTGTTACTCTTGTGGGTTTTCTGCCTTTGCAGTGCTGAGTGTTCTAGCTAAAAGTAAGCAGTACTTAGTACATATTCTGTCCTTTCTCCTCTTTAGGAAAGAGCCTTTTACACAAATGGCCACCCCTGAAATTACAACTCATCTCCTTATATTGTGCTCCAATATATTGTCAGGAATGGTTTTTACCACTTAGACAGGTTAATAATGCTTACCTACAGCTTCTGCTAAAGCAGGAGTGTGTGTGTGTGTGTGTGTGTGTGTGTGTGTGACCATGAGTGTGTGCTTGCATGTGTATTATATTGTGGTCAATCTGTCTTGGGAACAATGACTGTAGGAAGAAAAGCCTTGGAGAGTAGAGTGTTGTCAGTCCTAGCCATCCCTCCATCTGAAGCTGGGGCACCCTTCTTCTAAGAGAATATTGTACCTGGGTTATAACAGTTCTTTAGCTTTGAAGTGCTGGCCAACTTACAAGAAGCTGCAACTTCATCTTCTTGACACATGGACACATGGAGCAAGAACAAGAAAAGAAACTGTGTCAGTAGCTGTGAGCATATCAACACTAAAGTCTGAGAAATTATAGTAAATGAAAAATTACAATTACTCGTAAGCTGTGATCCTTATTTTAAAAGTATCCTGCATTTGGCAGAAACTACCAGATACTCATATGGAGAGGTCTATTTTTGTCAGGCTGGCCCAGATAGATCCCTGTCAAAACATGTTGCTAGAGTTGCATAGAGGAGTTCAGCCAGACTCTAGGCATAGGTATCTAACATGTCATTCCTAAAAAGGTCTTTCTGACTTCACTGTTTTCCTGTGAGAGTTTATATACATGCCAGGTAGGTGCTGTAAGCAGAAGACAAGAGCCTGTATGCCACAGCTGATCCATAATTAAGCTATCTAGCTCTACTTGTGGCCCTTAGTAATGAGCATAAGGCAGCAGTGATACTGCAGGAATTCTGAGAGCCATTATACTTAAACCCCATAAAAAGGCATGTCTAACACAAAATGCCATGTTGTATTATAAAAGAAAAAATAGTTATGGGAATTTAAGCCTTGATTGATTTGATATAGGATGGTTTTGAACTATTTATATATGTGAGTGTGAGGCTGGCCTTGAACTCTTGATCTTTTTGCCTCTATCTCCCAAATAATATTACAGGTTGGTCTCACCACACTTAGCTCATAGTTTGTTCTTTGTCTTGTTTAAGTAGGTGGTGGTGGTGGTAGTGTGGTGTGTGTGTGTGTGTATGTGTGTGTGTGTGTTTATATTCATATGTTTATGTATATGTGTTTATATAGAAGTCAAAGGTTGACACCAGGTGACTTCTGTCTCTTATCTTTTTTTTTTTGAAACTCACCAATTGGGTATATTAGTTGGCAAGCCAGCCTCTTGAAAACTTATATCTCCATGCTCCCAAATGCTGGAGTTACAGACACATACCACTATGGTTGGCTTTTTACATGGTGTTAAGGATCTGAACTCAGGTCATGCTTGTACAACAAGCGCTTTAACAACTAAGCCATCTCTTCATCTTTTAAACTGAGCACATAAAACCTTTTTTTGGGTAATCACAATATTTCTCCATTTTGTCCTTCCTGATTATTTTTATTCATTACAAAAGTTAATAACTCTATAGCATACCCTTAGTTCTTTCCTCTGAAGGATGATGGTTGTGAAAGACTTGATTTGGACAACTATTCCAGGGAAACAAATAGATGTTAATATCATTCCCTGTGACTCGTGGGTCAGCATTAGCAACAGTAATATCTCAAGAGCACTGGCAGCCAATAGAATGTAGCATGCTTAAAATAGCTATTGAAGAAGGTACTATACCCTCCTTCTAGACAACTTACTTAAGTGATGTGCCAATACCTGTATCTTCTTATTTTATTTCTTGTCTTTCCTGGAAAGCCTGTGTCCTTGGGTTAATGGAAATACAGAGAGTTTTTTGTGGTTCTGTGACAAGTACAGTGCTTTGATCTGTTTTTTTAAGTTTTGGCTTTCTAAGGGTATTTATTGTCTCTAGTGGTATGAGCCAAGTTTTAGATTAGTTAAATGATCTTCTATCTTAATATAAAACTCCACCTATGACTTAGTATATTGTTCTATCTACAATGAGTCTTCCCCTAAAGCAGTGATCCTCTAATGTTAATATGAATCAGAATTACTTGCAAGACTTAGAAAAACAAATTATTGTGCCCACCTCAAGAGGTCTGATTTGTTGAGTTGGGGCCCAACAGTTTGGCTTTCTCACCAACTCTTAGGTGGTAATGATGGTGCTAGTTTGAGAACTTCTTTAAGAACCATGTCTTGGGGCTGTGAGATTGCTCAGTGGTTAAGACCTTGTACTGCTCTTGCAGAAAGCCTGGGTTCAGTCCCTAGCACACATATTGTATGACTCACTACTTGTAACTAGTTTCAGAGGATCTGACCCTCTCACTTGGGCTTCATAGACACAAGTGTATGTGTACATGTCCTCACACACACACACACACACACACAAACACACACACATGAATGCACACATTTTTAAAAAATATTTTATGAAAGAACCATGTCTTGGGACTGGCAAAATGGCTTAGTGAGTAAAAGTACTTGCTGTGTAAGTCTGAATTTGGTTCCCAAAACCCACGATGGAATTGGCTCCTGAAAGTTGTCCTCTGACCTCTATATCATGGCTCTCATAAACCCACACTCACATACATACATCATACATGCTTACACACAATAACAATAAATAAAATTTAAATTCAAAATTTAAAAAAAAGAAAAGGAATGAGCAAGCCATGACTTAGAAAGTGCTCTGCTTTGTGTATGGGTGGTTTGTCCCCGCTGAGTCAGATCTAAGGTAAAGAGTAATTGTCC